AATTCTTCTCATAAAATTCAATTATGTTTAAAATTAAAAAAAAATTCTCTTCAAAATCCCAATTATCTTGATAAATAAAATTCTTCCCCAAAGTTAAATTATTTTCAAAAATGTCAATAAAATTTTTGTACTAATTTCAATTATTTTCAAAAATTTTTCTTATTTCAATGATTTTCAATATCTACCTACTATTTTAATAAAATTTCCAAAAATGAATTCAATTATTTAAAAAAAATTTTTAATGACATTGTACGTAAACATTTAATTATTTTCATAAATAAGAAAAATTTCACAGGAATTCTACTATTTACAAATTTTTTATAAATTTCTTCGCAATAATTCAATTATTTTCATAAATAATAAAATTCTTTTAAAAGAATTCAATTATATTTTCATGAAAAATAATTAAAAATTCTAGAAAATAATAATTAAATTGAAATTATAAAAATAGTTTTAAATAAATTACAGTAACAATAATTCTTATAATATAAAATATCATCTTTAATTATTAAAAAACATGAAGATATCGAACAAACAATACTTTTAAGTATAAAAGTATAAAATATTTAACAAAGATTTAAATTTTTACTTGTAATTTTACTTTGTAAATTTTACTTCTAATGTTCAATTATTATCTAAAATTTGAATTGAAACTCAATTTTAAATCAATTCTCATTATAATGTTCTACGAGAATTTAATTTTTTATATACAAAAATAAATAATTCATTGAATAATTGAATATTTCTTAAAATTGAATTCTTATAAAGAATATTATCAAAATTTTAAAAAATAATTGAATTTTAATAAAATTTTCAAGAATAATTACATTTTTCGAAGAATACAATAAATTGTATTAAAAATAATTTAAATCAAAGTAAATTAAAATTATTTTATAATTGAATTCTGTTGAAAATTTTATTATTCATGAAAATAATAGATAAAAATATTAAAATTATTTAAATTTATAGAAATAAAAATTCAATTGTTTCGAATAAAATTTAAGTTCGTACGAGAAATTTAATTAAGATTGAACTGAAAATATTTGACTATTTACAACAAATTTTATTAAAATTTTTAAAAATAATTGAATTTTTGAGAAGAATTTTATTATTTCTAAAAATAATTGAATTTTTGAGAAGAATTTTATTATTTATAAAAATAATTGAATAGTGAATTTCGCAAAGGACGAAAAATTTTTTTAAAAATCGTTTGAAATAATTGGCTTTTTTTGAAAAATTGTTTTTTAATCTATTAAACTCCTGTGAAAATATTTTATTATTTGTTAAAATAATTGAATTCTAGCAACGAATTTTATTAAAATTTTTAAAGATAATTGAATTCCTAAGAATTTTATTATTTATGAAAATAATTAAATTCCCGTGAAAAATTTTATTATTTTTAAAAATAAGTGAATTCATGCGAAGAATTATATAAAAATATTTCTAATTAATTGATAATTGTTTTTTTTCGAAGAATTTTAGGAAAATTTTGTTTTAAATTATTGAATTCCAGTGAAAATTTTATTATTTATGAAAATAATTAAATGTTTTCAAAGAATTTTATAAAATCTTGTTATTAAAATAGATTTTGAAAATAATTGAATTTAGAAACATTTTTGAATTGTTTCTAAGAATTTTATTAAATTTTTTGAGAATAATTTTTTTATTTCAACTTTTAGTGAATTAAAGTAGCGCAAATTTTTGAAAATAGAAAAAATAGCTTTTAGTGTCAAAAATGTGGAAAAAAATTAGAATAGTATCCAGATAGTAGAAAATTTTTAAAAATTAGTAAATGGTAGTTTTTAGTTGATTTAAATTTAAACTGTAAATAATTTATGGAGTTGACGGTCACTGGAGTTGAAAGTGAAATTTTTTGAGTTAAAAATCAACTCCAAAGGGGAGTTAATTATTAAATTAACTCCTTTTTGAAGTTGATTCTTATTTTTACTGTTTAAATTTTAACTCCCTTCTGTTTAACTCCCAAGTGGGTGCGACTTTTATAGAATCCCTTGAGGAGTTAAAATTTAACTCCCTTTTTTAATTTTTTTACAGTGTACGAAGCCTGTAAAAATTAAAATTCATTTGCTTCGAAAGAAAATTTTTATTTCATTAAATAGTCGAATGAGCCCAAAGACTGAAATTTGTTTTTAATTGAATTTATTTTGAGCATCGCATCGCTAAATTCAACTTTATCCAAAAATTTCGAAATGGCTTTTATACCCTTTATATAAAAGGTTTTGAAAAATTTCGTACACGCAAAATCCAATCCACGGTGGAAGAAAGGATTACATGTATTTCGTTTTTTTTCGCCATTTTCTTTCATGTGTACTTTTCTTCTTTTTTTTATCTTTTGTACTCTCTTTTAATAGGACTCGGCAGTATCAGAGCGTATAACGAGTTAACGAGCTTCCCCTGAACGAGCTTTTTAATGAAGCTTTCGTGAAGAGAAACCAGCAATAATAATCGATATAAAGTCCACGAGATTGATTACGGTTGGTTCTTGACACGCCCTGTACGCCATGCTTGTGTGATAAAAAGAAAAACAAACAAACAAACAAACAAAACCCAAAAAGAAGAATAAGAAGGAGAAGAAGAAGAAGAGAAAGAGAAAGAGAGATCGTGCGACAAAAACAGTCCATCTTCTCACACTTCCGTTTTGTCATGACAAAACTTTTGTTTGTTCTCCTTTGAATTTTCACAAGGAAAACTGTTGATTTTGTATAGTGCAGTATAAGAGAGGAGTCAAGAATTAATTTAAACTTGAATGAATAATCTCTAGCTTCTTCAACTATATATCAAACTCTTGAACTTATCTTCTCTCAAATTCGGAAGTTTATTACTGCGCCTCCACTCTCATAAAGATATTAAACAATAATTTGCAATGTTACTCCAAGTTTCTTATTGTTGACGTACGAATACAAATCATGGCATTTTGTATTATACATAAAATAATCTTTCGCGAGAGTCTTTCGGAGAACAAGAATTTTTGTACATATGGCGTAAACAGAAAATCAGCCCAATTTTAATAATAACAGTAAAAAGTAGTACAATTTTCAAAGAAGCGAACAATTGGAAAAAAGTTTTTGTTTGAAAGAACCAAATTTTGTTTGAATCAACTAAACACGTTTATGCTGTTCAGTTAACTAGTTTGTTCAATTCAAGAAACTTTTTCAATTATTATTGAATATTTTTATTTGAATAAATCAAACAAGTCACTGCATTCAATTAATTTTTTTTTCTCCTTCAACAAACATTTTTTTCAAGACAAGAAAAAGCAATAGAATATTTTATCACACTTAAAAAATGATGCAATTTGACTATTTTTGTAGTTATTTTTTACTAATTGATGAAGCAAAAAGTCAGTCACGATTTTACTAGTAATTACAGGTCAGGGAAATCAGAGAAATGTCAAGGATTTTTATTAAAGTACTACTGGAAAAAATTGAATTTTGGAGAAGTTACAAATGATTGCAGAAATTCAATTATTTTCAAAAGTAATAAAACTGTTCGCAGAAATTCAATTATGTTCAAAAATTTTTTAAAAATTCTTGTCAAAATTTTCAATTATCTTTCAAAATAATAAAATTCTTCTCCAAAATTCAATTATTTTAAAAAAATTTAATAAAATTTCAATTATTTTTAAGAATAATAAAATTTTTCGCAGAAATTCAATTGTGTTCAAAACTTTAAAAAAATCAAATTTTAATAATTTTTAATACAATTTTAATCGAATTCCTCGAAAAATGTAACTATTCTTGAAAATTTTATTAAAATTCGTCGAAAAAATTCTATCATTTAAAAATTTGTTTATAAATTCTTTATGAGAATTAAATTTAGAAAAACATTCGTTTATTCAATTATTTATTTGCTTTGTATTTAAATAATTGAATTCTCATAGAATTTTCTAATAAAAATTTATTTAAAATTGAATTTCAGTTAAAATTTTAGATAATAATTCAATATTAAAAGCATTACGGCATGAATTTCCAAAAATTATTTAAATTTGAAAAGGTTTTAGATTAAAATCTTTAATAATAATTAATAATAATTGAATTCTTTCCAAGAATTTTAATAATATTTTTGAAAATAATCACATTTTTCAAAGATTTTACTTAAAATTGTATGGGAAATAATTAAAATCCTGTGATTCAAAATAATTGAATTCTTGCATCGAATTTTATTAAATTTTGTTTAAATAATTGAAATTCTGTGAAGAATTGTATTATTTATGAAATATTTGAATTTAAGCGAAGAATTTCATTATTTGTGCAATGTAATTGAATTCTTGCAAACATTTTTTTGAAAATAATTACATTTTCCGTGGAATTTATTTAAAATTATATTAAAAATAATTGATATCGAATGAAAAATTTTATTATTTAAAAGAATAATTGAATTCTTGCAACGAATTTCAATTACATTTTTTTTAAATAATTGAAATCCGGTGAAGATTTGTATTATTTATGAAAAGAATTGAAGTCTTGAAACGAATTTTATTAAATTTTTTTAAAAATAATTGAAATCTTGTTAACAATTGCATTATTTATGAAATTCTTTTGAAAAATTTTATTAAAATAGTTGATTTTAAAAATATTTGATTTTCAGCGGAGAATTTCATATTATGTGTGAAATGTAATTGAATTCTTGCAAATAATTTTTGAAAATAATTACATTTTTCGAGGAATTTATTTAAAATTGTATTAAAAATAATTAAAATCCCATGAAAAATTTTAGTATTTATGAAAATATTAAATTCTTACAGCGAATTTTATTACATTTTTAAAAATAATTGAATTCATGTGAAAAATTGTATTACTTGTAATAGTAATTGATTTCTTGGGAAGAATTTTATTAAAATTGATCTGCATTGATCTGCATTTCTATTAAATTTGAAGAAAATTGTTTACTTTTTCGGCCACTTATTAAAAATTTGAATACTATTTATTTATAATTATTGTAAAAAAATGTTTTCTGATGATGAAAAATTTGGTGTGTTTCAGGGTAGAGAAGAGCGGCTCAAGGAAGCTGCAGCAGCTTCCAAACGCCGTGCAGCGGAGTGGGAGAACGAAGAAGAGCTGCTCCCTTTAGGATAGGAAGTAGCTTATAGAATGAACATCTTTGGGAGCATGCGAAGGATGGCCGCTGAAATAAATATCGCAAGGCGGCTTCCGCTTCTTCTTCTTCTTCTTCTTGTACTGCCAAGACTTCGAGGACAAATGCACTCGACGCCGGACGTTGTTGTCAATAAGTTTCATGATCCGGAAGTCGAAAGAATGAACCATCTTGTGGTTGACAAGAACACTGGCAGAGTGTACGTTGGAGCGGTGAATCGACTCTATCAGCTGGCTCCCGATTTAAATTTGGTCGTTAAAGTGGTCACGGGTCCGAAGAAGGACAATCCCGACTGTTCGATGATGGATTGTCCCAAGGATGTTGAGAAGAAATTGACTGATAACGTTAATAAGGCACTCGTCATTGATTACACCACTTCCAAACTCATTTCCTGTGGCAGTCTCTTTCAAGTGAGTCACTTTAGAATTTTATTTTTCTTCTCTTTTCTTCAAATCAAATACATGTCTCCATTTTAATCGGCATTTAAATCAGAATTTTTACTTAAAAATAGATTTTTTAATCAACTTTTACTTAAGGAAGAATCCAACAAAGAGTCTGAAGATGAAAGTAAAGTTACTAACGTTTACGTCGACGAAATGAAGTAAAAAAAAGCATATAAATTAAATTTTTCAGTAACTATTGTCTTTCCCGCCCCGATTAATAATCAGGGTGTCTACAACACCTGGAGAACCGGGAAATGTCAGTGTATTCTTTTCATCATGACTTGAAATACTCTTGAACAATATTTTTAATGCCCACAAGTAGTTTTACAAATTTTTAGTAAAAAATTATTAGTAATAATTAATATTGCCTTTCTAATTTGCAATTCTATTTTGAGAAATAATATAAACCACAGACATACATATAATCAAATAGAAAAAAATTGACCACTTAAAATTCTGAAAGATCAAAAGAAATGCAGAAATATTGCAGAAATTCAATCATATTCAAAAAATTTTAAAAATTCTCATGAAAATTTCAACTATCTTTATAAATAATAAAATTCTTTTATAAAATTCAATTATTTTCAAAAATTTTAATAAAATTCTTGGCAAAATTTCTATTATTTTCAAAAATTTTCCTCATTTCAATGTTTTTCAATATCTACTATTTTAATAAAATTTTTCCTAAAGAATCTAATTATTTAAAAAAATTTTAATTATTTTCATAAAATAATAAACATTTCACAGGAATTATTTTCGTATATAATAAAATTCTTTTTAGAAATTCAATTATTTTCATAAATAATAAAAATGATCAAAGAATTTCAATTATTTTTAATACAATTTTAATCGAATTCTTCGAAAAATGTAATTATTCTTAAAAATTTTATTAAAATTCGTCATCAATTTAAAAATTTGTTAGTAAAATTCTTTATGAGAATTCAATTTTAAGAAATATTCAATAATTCAATAAATTATTTATTTTTGTATTTAAATAATTTAATTCTAATAAAAATTGATTTAAAAAATTAATTTCAGTTACAATTTTAGATAATAATTGAATATTAAAAGCAATATAGCGTGAATATTTAAAAATAATTCAATTTTGAAATTAATTTTTTTTTGAAATATGTTAATTGAATTTTTTTTATATTATTTGAAGTTTTTATTTTCTAATATATATTTAATTGAAGAATTTACGAATAATTGAAATTTCGTAAAATTGATAATATTGTAAACAAATGAATTTGAAAATTGTCAAAGAACTTTTTCGAAAATTATTAAAAATAATCGATTTTAAGAAGAATTTTAGTTAAAAATTCTTGAAAATAATAATTGAATTGATAATGATTTTATCACTGGGTTAATATCTTTAATTATTATATTGCTCCGAGTCGAAGACTCGGAGGTCTATTAAGTTGGCACCACTACTTTTATATTTTGAGTTATCAACTATGTCACAATTTAGGGCTCAAATAGGGCTCTTCAGCGATCAAAAATAAAAATTTGTCGCCCCTCATTTTTTAAAAAAAAACTTTGATTCTGCTAGCTTAACCCATTAACGCCCAAATGTCCAAAATTTTTGACTGAATTTCAAGGTAAGAATTTTTATCCTAAATGATTAGACTTTTAAAAACCCTTCGGTACTAGGGGGTATTGAGGTCCGCTCTTTCAGAATCCGGGGTCAAAAAAGCATTTTGACCATCAGGGAAACCAATATGGCGCCCAAAATGGAGAAAATACCGAAAAAATCGTAAGGTTTTTTTTTGAAACACGCTTTTCACATCAATAAGATTTTTTTGAGCGGGTCTCATGTATACCTATAGGTGGATAAAATAGTTGTACTTTCAAACTGTGTACTTGACAACTTAAAAATTCAAGATGGCGGATCCAAAATAGCAGAAAAATCAGAGCAAAATACTTGATAAATAGCAAATGCATCATCAATATTCAAAACTTGATTTAAATCATTTGAAAATTACTTCTCGGGGGTTTTCGGGGTCGCTGATTACGAATACGAAGTTCAATTTTTAAAATTCAAAATGGCGGATCCAATATGGCGGGTAAAATCTTTTTAAAATCGATAAAATTGCATGAAATTACTTCTCGGGGGTTTTCGGGGTCACTGATTACGAATATGAAGTTCAATTTTTAAAATTCAAAATGGCGGTTCCAATATGGCGGATAAAAATTTTTGAAAATCGATAAAATTGCATGAAATTACTCACTCGGGGGTTTTCGGGGTCGCTGATTACGAATATGAAGTTCAATTTTTAAAATTCAAAATGGCGGATCCAATATGGCGGGTAAAATCTTCTTAAAATAGATAAAATTGCATGGAATTACTTACTCGGGGGTTTTCGGGGTCGCTGATTACGAATTTTAAAAGTGCAATTTTAAAAATTGAATACTACAAATTCATAAATTTCTAGTTGTTTTGTAGATTTTATTTTGTTTGTTACCGTCACGTTTTTCTGGAGTTGCCCAATTCTCACTCCGTGGAGTACGACAAAGTTTCTTAACTCTGTCTTCATTTTTAAAAAATTTTTTTAACAATTTCTTAATATTTTTTTGTATTTTTTAATTTTTTAATTTTGTTGTAGGGTGTTGTGGGGTGATGTGCAACGTTTTTTTTCGTTGGACGAAAAACATGTTAAATATTTAAATTTTTAAATATTTCAAAATTGAATGACTTAGAGGCCAAAAAAAATTTACTAAGGTATAGTTGACCTCTAAAAAGTGGAGATTTTACCATTAAAGAAAAAAAAATTTTTTTGTTTAATTTTTTATTTATTCATAACTGAATAAGGAATATAATTAAAGGAAAATAACAAATAATTTTTTATTCATCATGTGAATCGCAGTTATGGCACGTAAAAAGTAGTTACGTCCACCCCAAAAAAAGTGTTGCACATCACCCCAAATATGATATTTTGCGAAAAATGATTTGTACGCAATACAATGCAATGGAAACACAAAATATAAACAGATATTTAAAAACACTTAAAAAAGCAACAATAAGCACATTCTTATCTATAAAATAAATTAAAACCCTTCACGAAACGACTAGAAATGTAAAGCGCGAGAAATATTTCCTTCCCGAGAAATTTAAGTCAACTTACGTACAGCAAACCTGGCTGCGAGCTGTCTCGTGAGTTTTATATCAAAAACAAGCTACTGAGGATACAAAAAAATGGCAATACTTGGCTCTGTTCAATATCGAACTGTAGATCAGAAATCGGCGGTGTTGCAATTTTATCTATTTTAAAAAAATTTTTATCTGCCATATTGGATCCGCCATTTTGAATTTTAAAAATTGAACTTCATATTCGTAATCAGCGACCCCGAAAACCCCCGAGTGAGTAATTTCATGCAATTGTATCGATTTTCAAAAATTTTTATCCGCCATATTGGAACCGCCATTTTGAATTTTTAAAATTAAACTTTATATTCGTAATCAGCGACCCCAAAAACCCCCGAGTGAGAAATTTTATGCAATTTTATCGATTTTCAAAAATTAAAAGTACAGCCAAATCCCAACAAGTCATGAAAATTAGTATGTTCAACAACTGAAAAATGTAAACATTTAATAAAAAAAATGTTCTTCAGAAAATGTAAGAAAAATTAAGTCCTGGGACTAGGATACATTTTTTTAACATAGAATTACAATTCTAAATTCTTTTATACATAAACATTCGTTTAAAAAAACTAACACTTTATCTATATTTTTCTGAATGATATTCATTTAATAATAAATTTTTTATAAATATTTATTTCGAAAACGTCAGTTCATCAAAAATACTTCACATAGGGCTCGTTTGATGTAAAATTGTTGTAAAATATTTTAATTTTTATTAATTTTTACTAATTAATTAATAATTTGAAAAGAAAAAAACGTCATTTTTTCTGTTTCGAATATTAAAAGTACAAATCTTAATCTTTTTTGATACAAAAAAAGAAAAAAAAAGAGTTCTTTCTGAAAAAAAAAATTTTTAATTTTCAAAAAAAAGATTAAATTTTGAATTTTTCGAGAAAATGTTTCCACCTTTTGAAAAAGCTCTACAATTTTTTATAAAATTTCATACTACTTGTTGGTTTAAGTACTAATTTATAATACTAAATACTGAAAAATATTAGCCTGATCCAACAACTTTCAATTTTGACATTGGTACTTGAGAAAATTTGCATCAAACTTGCAAATTTTTATATATATTTTTTAAGGTTTTGCGTATTAAAATTCAAAAAAAGAATTTATTAAAGTTATAGAGTAACTTATGTGCCGACTTCACGTTGAGATAGCAAAAACGAGTTTTTAAAAGTGATTTTTAGAATTTAGTATTTCTAACTATAAATAAAAATAGCATTTAATAAATTTGTAAGGCTAGAAAAATAAATTTGATGAAAAAAGCCCCGTGAAGCTAACAGACCGACAGCGGTCCGCAGCCACACGTATTTGACTGCCAAGTGTGGCTGCGGACCGCTGTCGGTCTGCTAGCTTCACGGGGCTGATAAAAAAGGGTACGTTTAAAAAACTGTTTAAATATAATAAAAGTGGTTAGGGTAATTTTTTAAATTTAAGGGTAGTTTTTGTGAGGTTTGTTCTTTAGCCTTTGGAGAGCCCTAAATGAGCCTTAAATTATAGCGTTAAAATTTTTTTGATTTGTAATTATTTATTGAAGTTATAAAGTAATTTGTGCTAGCTTAACGTTAAGTTAGCAAAAACAAGGTTTTATTAAAAAAAATGTGGATGGGCAATTTTTTAGACAAAGAGTATTTTTAAGAAGTTTGTTCTTTGTCCATCGGAGAGCCCTAAATGAGCCCTAAATTATACCGTTAAAGTTTTTTTGATTTGTAATTATTTATTGAAGTTATAGAGTAATTTGTGCCAACTTAACGTTAAGCTAGCAGAATCAAAGTTTTTTTTTTTAAAATGAGGGGCGAAAAATTTTTATTTTTGAGCGTTGAAGAGCCCTATTTGAGCCCTAAATTGTGACATAGTTGATAACTCAAAATATAAAAGTAGTGGTGCCAACTTAATAGACCTAAGAATCGGAGTGATCGATATCTTCATGTTTTATAGTTACATAAAAAATTTAATTTATAGTTTTAAGTAAAATGTTCTCTTATTTGACTCGGACTAGTTATATTTTTGTTAAATAATTTCTTACGAAAAATAAAAGTATAGCTATTCTTTGTTGCTTCTATTATAAAATTAATTTTTTATTATCATTACTAAAAAACCAAGCTCCAGAAAAAATTTGATTTAAATCAAAAAAGTCCGATCTAAATAAAAAATATTGTATTTTTTTTTTTAAATCATGATTTTTAACAGTTCGGCTTTTCTAATATAATATTTACAGTTTAAAAGTAATCTACATTTTTTTGTAATAACTTCTTAATGTCCTAATTTATGAGAGTCTTTTTTTCCTTCATTAATTAAATTCTGTATTAATTCTGTATATAAAAATTTTATAATAGCTATATTTTGTTAATTAAAAAGAATTCTTTTCTGTAAAGTATGTGTAAATTCTTATTTACGTGTTTATTAGATTTTTGTTCTTCGTTTTTAGTTACATTTTTCGTTTAAAATTAAGTACGGTGTAATCATTAAGTTAAATATGTTAATAACTTCCTCATTTAGATAATGCAAATTTTATCACTACTATTTTCTGATAAACAGTACGGTTATATTTACATTAGAGCTGTGATTTTTATACAACTATCATGTGGGAAATTGTTGAAAGTGCTAAATGTTCGATTTCATAATTATTTTTACAGAATATTTTATGATTAAAAGGAAAATTTCACGCTTTATTTTTAATTACAACAAAAGTAATTAAAAATAAAGCGTAAAATTTTCTGTGTGTTTTCAATATTTTTTCCGTATTTTATTATTTTCTTCGTTCAAATGATTTTGAATTATTAAAAATGTTCATTTTTTACTTCTTTTAATTTGTAATTTTTTATAACAATAAACAATGACATTAAACGTAATTTTCTATTTAGAAGATATTTCGTTTATCCTCAATTTTTTTTTTTGTAAACGAATTCGAATTTGTATTATTTTGAACTTTTTATTTTATTCAACAAATTTTTGCCTGAATTCACATTAACCGTAATTTTCATTAACAGATGTTTTATTTATTTGCAAATTTTTTATACAACAGATTTTTTATTTAGCAATTATTCAGTACATTTTCTTTATATTTATTCCCGTTTTAATTTTTTCAAATATTTATTTTTGAACTTTGTCTCTTTTAATAGACTTTTTATAAAAAATATTTCTTCACAGTTTTATTATTGTTATTATATTCCTTCAGGGACATTACTTTTTTAACGAATGTAATTACAGGGTTGCCACAGGTCAGGGAAATCAGGGAAAGTGAAATTGATCAGGAAAATGATAAGCAATTTTATTAAAAGTGTGGGAAAAATATTAAAATTCTGGAATTACTACGCAAAAATTTTGGTTTTTTGTATTTAAAAATATTTTTGAAAAACTTAAATTTTTATTGAATTTTTGTTCACTTTAAAAACTTTTGAATGGCAATGATTTTTAAAACAATATTTTGATTTTTTCTCATTTTTGTAGATAATGGAATTTATTTTAATTTCAATTCTAGAATAATTTTTTTTAAGTTTTTAATTATAATGTACTCAGAAAATTTTTTATTTAAAATGATAGCAATTTTCAAATATAATTGAATTTCACACCATTTTAAAATAGAGTTTTTGAAAATTTCAGGTTTATTTAAATTAGTTCATTTTAAAAAAATTTAATTTTAAAATTTCTTTTAAAATTGAAGTTTAAAAAAATTTTATTTAAAATTCATAAAAATGACGTTCTTGAAATATTTCTGTTCCATTTCTTTAAGATAACTGAATTTTTAGAAGCAAATAATTTACATTTTTTAAATTAATTGGAATTTTCTAAAATTATTCTATTGAAAATAAATAAATTATTGAAATTTTCTAAAATTCTATTAAAAATAATTGAAATTTTTTAAATAATTAAACAATGTAAATTTTTATTAATTACTTAATATTTTTTAAATATTCATGATTTTAAAAATTGAAATTTCTGAAAAATTAGCTATTTCAAATATTTCTGTTATATTTTTTAAAGATAATTGAATTTTTATAAGCAAAAAATTGACATTTTTTAAAGTAATTGAAGTTTTCTAAAATTCTATTAAAAGTAATTTCATGAGAGATTTCAAAAAATTGAATTTTTAAAGAATTTTAATTCCATTATTGGAATATAATTGAATTTAACAAAGAGTTACAATCGAAAGTATTTATTTGTTTTTTAGTGGAAAAAAATCTAAATTTGATTCAATTTAAATTAAAAATTCAAGTTTTGATAAATTTTATTTACATCTTTGAAATATTAGTTGATTAAAATATTTTTGTTTTATTTTTTAAAAATCATTGAATCTTTATAAGCAAATAGTTGAATTTTTTTTTAAATAATAATTTTTTTTTGATATGTTATTAAAAATAATTGAATATTTTAAGTTTTGCTAACATTTTTGAAAATTATATAAAAAAAGTTAACCAAATTAACTAATTTTTATTTTTATAATAGATACATATTTTTAGTTTTAAATCAAAGTTTTTGCTTCCAAATTTATTCCAAATAAAAATTTAACTCCTCTTCGATTTTTTATAGAGATCAGGGAGAAAAAGCACTCTTAAAAAGTTTTTTACTTCCTAGGTGAAGGAAAGAATTGAAATTTGTCAAAATTTTATCACTAAAAATAAGAAGAAAAATAGTTTTCGATGCTGAGCGTTGACGCCAACATCAGGGAACTGAAAAAAAGTCCCTGAAGTTGACCTCCTGAAGTCATAATTTTTATTAGCATGTGACTGTTAGAAATGCAATGGTAATTTTTTCGACCACTTTTCTCTTTAAATATTTTATAAATTGAGCTCAAATTTTGTAAGAAAGTCTAAAATATAATAAAGAAGGGCAGTGATGTGCAAAAGTTTCAATAATTCAAAAATGAATTATAATAAAACACTTTGAAATCGATAAAGACGAGAAATTGATTAGCAGTGACCGTGACAACTGATAATTTTAAAGTAATTTATAATAATTAATTTTAAAAATATTAAAACTTTTGCACATCACTGACCATTTTTATTGTACTTTAGACTTTCGTACAAAATTTCCGCTCAATTTATTAAATATTTAAAGAGAAAAGTGATCGAAAAAATTACCATTGAGAACCTAGAAATCACATGCTGTTAAAGTAGAAAATAATATTTTGTTATGAAATACAAATTAAAAATAGTTACAAAAATATTGACATTAATTTGAACGTTGAAAAAAAAAAGATTAAAGACATGAAAAGTCAAGGGAAAAGAAATAAAGAATAGGAAATTTTTGTGGCAACCCTGAATTAAAGTTGCAAAAATTTACAATGAGTTTGAAACACTTGAGGTTCGAAATGAATGTAAACATGAATTCAGTGCTATTTAAAAGATACAAATCGTAGCGGATGTGAAGGAGAAAAAGAAAAACTGAATGAATAGAATAAAGTAAATTTTTCTCTATTTGCTTTGCTTTTCTTTTCCTTTCTTTTCTCTTGAATTTGTGAGACAATGTTGATAGTCGCTTTATCGGAGTTTATGTTTCATTCATTGGAACGATCATTATCGAAATGTATAATATCGAAGTGCAGCAGCAGGGAGGAAATCTCTCATTGTGATGATTACATTAACACATAATCGTCTTGTGATTTTACAGGGAATGTGCACTGTTCGTAACTTGCACAATATATCGGACGTTGTGCAAGAAGTACGTGAACCAGTGGTGGCGAACAATGGCACCGCCTCAACAGTAGCGTTCATTGCTCCAGGCCCTCCAAATCCGCCAGTGTCTCAAGTAATGTATGTCGGCGTTACGTACACTGGGAATTCACCTTATCGATCGGAAGTACCTGCGGTGAGTTCGAGGTCCCTCGACAAGGACAAGATGCTCAACATTGCTGAGTCCGCTGTAACAACTGGTACAAGAATGTATGTCAATTCACTCTCACGTGAACGCTATCCAATCAACTATATCTACGGATTCAGCAGCGAGGGTTTCAGCTATTTTCTCACCACTCAGATGAAGAATACCGACACGTCGAATTACATTTCAAAATTGGTTCGCGTCTGTCACGACGATCAGCATTATTATTCGTACACGGAAATGCCGATCGACTGCATTGGCGATGGGAAGGTTTACAATTTGATTCAAGCCGCGTACGTGGGCAAGGCGGGCTCCGATTTGGCCTCCGATCTCGGTATCGTCGCCCAGGACGACGTTCTGTTCGCGGTTTTCTCCATAAGCGATGGACCAACGAGTCGTCCGCGTGCTCAAAGTGCATTGTGTGTTTATTCCCTCAAGGCCATTAGACGGAAGTTCATGAAGAATATTCAGAAGTGCTTCAGCGGCGAAGGTCAAAGAGGTCTTGGATTCATCTCTCCGAGTCATCAGTGCGTACTTACGGTGAGTACTTATTTTATTATGTAATTAGAAATATGTGAGGCTGGCGCAAGATTTTATCTCTCACTGTGTGTGTGTTGTGAGTGCACAAATCCCCTCAAAAACCTCCATGGAAACCTTTAACCTTTAATATTCTCACATTTATTTACAAGAAAATTATGTTATACGACTCAATTTGCTAGTTTCAAGAGAACTGTTTATGCACACAGTTAGTATTTCGAAATTAATTGCCTGACGAAAGATTACTTTTCACTTGGAAATTCATAACGTTCGCAATAATACACAAGTTGTTGTTTATATGACATGTTCCGAATAATATGCCTGTTGTAATTTTCCAGGTGAGCAAAGTTAAATTCTCAGTGATTGAAAATAATAATTCTTGCTTCATGAGAATTTAAACCATTTTGAGAAGGAATAATTTTTGTTAATACAAAAAAAACATTTTTAGATACATTTTTTTATTAATCATTTTCTAATTATTAATCACTTTTTTTATTAAATATTTTTTTATTGCAGAAATTCTTGAGATTAGTTTATCAAAAACTTCAAAAAAATATTTACTTTTCTTTTTTCAGACTTCGCACTTATCTACTAAAACCTACTATTTACTACTTTTTTTACAATTAGCTACTATTTGGACACTTATTTTAAGTTAAGTTTAGTTTAGTTTATTTACGGTAAGATACACCGTTTTACATAATTAAATCTTAATTTATACAAGTAACAAAAATTAAATGATTTTTATATAAAATATAAAAAAAATAATAATTTTAACAATTTAATCATAATAGCACTTAAAATTTTTGTGACACTAAAAGATGATTATTACTCTTCTTTTTTTTTGTTTGCACAAATTGAAATCTATCAATAGTTAAAATAAAAGAATTATTTTCAAAAATTCTAATAAAAATTTTTGAAACAATTCAAAATTTCAAAAATGTTTTGAAAATATTTCGCAAGAATTCAATTATTTTTAAAACTAACAAAATTTTTCACAGGAAGTCAATCATATAAAAAAATTTAATAAAATTCGTTGTGAGAATTCAATTATTTTCATAAATAATAAAATTCTTCTCAGGAATTCAATCATTTTCAATCATTTTAATAACTTTCTCAAAAAAAGCCAATTTAAAAAAAAAATTTTAATTCTTCGAAAGAATTCAATTATTTCCAAAAACTTTAATTAAATTCAATAATAACATTTTTAATTACAATAACTAATAAACACTATTATTTTAAGAAATTGAGAGAAATTCTTCGTAAAATATAAGTACGTTTAAAATTTTTATTTAAAATTATTAGAAAGAACTACATTATTTTCAAAAAATTTAAAGAAATTAGTCAAAAAAATTTACTAATTTGAAAAATGTTAATAAAATTCTCCACAAGAATTTTATTATTTTCATTAGTAAAAAAATGCAATTATTTCTTAAAAATTTTAATAGAATTTTTTATTTACAATTATTAAAAAAAAAGATTATTTTAAAAACTTGAGAGAAATTTTATGAAAAGATTTAATTAATTTCAAAATTTAAAATTATAAACTGAATTTTCAATTAAAATTTTTAAAAAGTTAGTTTATTTTTAGATTTAAACTATTCAAAGAATTTAGTCAAACAAATTTAATTATTTTCGAAAAATCTGATAAAACTCTTCAAAAGAATTAAATTTTTCAACAATATTTTAATAAACTTTAATAATAAAATTATAAATTACAAATTTTTTAACAAAATCCATTATTTAAAAAAAATTGAAAGAAATTCTTCAAAACAATCCAAATATTTTCAAAAGTTTTAAGGAAATGTTTAAGAATTTAATTATTTTGAAAAATTTTGATAAAATTCTTATTCAATTTTCAGAAATAATCAATTATTCTATTATTTATTTATTTTTGTATTTAAATAAGTGAATTCTTGTGGAACTTTCTAAAAAAAATTTATTTGAAAATGAATTTCGGTTACAATTTTAGATTAAAATAATTGAAAATGAGTTATATAATATAAATTTTTAGAAATAGATAAATTTCAAAAAGCTTTTAAATTAAAATTATTAAAATCTTAATTCCAGGGGGGAAATAAATAAGTATTTATATATTTATCGAACAAAAATTATTTCAGTATAAAAATAATTTAATTTAGAAATTATAAAAAAATTAATCTTTTGAAAAATTTTAATTAAATTTTTTTGAATATAGGGAAATTCTCTTAAAAATTAAAAATGTTTATTTAAATTTCAAATTAATTGGAAATTTTGTCCAATTTAATTGAAATAAATTTTATATTTGAAAATAATTTATTATTTTACTATCAAAAATCATTTTTAAAAATAATCGAATTTTTGAAGAATTTTAACTAAAAATTTGGAAAATAATTGAATTTGATAAAAATTTAGAATTGAAGTTATTATCAGGATAAGAAAAACAGTGAATATTTCTTATCGAAATCAGGAAAATGTCAGGGAAATACAGAGTCAAATTTTTGTGATTTATTTGAATCGACTAAAACGAGTTTTTTAGTCATCAATTTTAATTTTCGATAACCACTTTTTTCCTATACTTTTTTCAGTCTCAAAGCTACTTTTTTTGCTACTTTTTTAAAATTAATTATTAAGTGCGAAGGCTGTATTTTTAATTATGAATTATATATTTTTAGTCTATAGTATTTTTTACATTTAAATAAGAAATTCTTTTCCTTCGTTTTGGAAATTGTTAAAAAATCTTTTTATTTTATTGTATAATTAAAATAATTTAAAATGTACTATTTGAAAAAATGAATTCTCAATTGCCAACGATCTAAAACGAAAGCAAGCGAAAACTGTGAATAAAAATGCGTTTTTCTTCTTTTTGCAATTATACGAAATTAATGGCCAAATTATGATAAGCAGGACATTTTAACAGCATTTACATATAGTCTTGACGTATATAGATTGGCACACATTGATATCGACAGCTGAGGTTTCACTGTTATCTCCGAATTGAGTATAGATTCAGTTTGAGAGGCTATCAGAAAATGTCATTGTCATTTACAGTGATAATGTCAATCAATTCAAGTTGAACATCTGTAGACCTAAATTGACTGTGAAAAGAAACAGGATGCAGTAACTTAAAGAAAGAACATTGTATCTTGCCTTCAACTAAACAGAGTCAATTAAACTTTCTTCTCTTTTTCTTTCTTTATTTCTTCTCTTTCTCTTTCTTTATTCTCTTTCTCTCTATATTTTTTCCCTTTCTCCTTATTTTTTTTCTCTCTCTTTTCTCAAGATATCTTCCGGATCTTAAATACCCAGCGTTGAAAAAAAATCTAGTTAAAGTTCAAATGAACGAAATTTTTGTTTCCTTTTTTTGTTGTTAAGTCCAAAGTTTTCTATTTTACGTAGATAGAAAAAAATTTAAATGGTGATATAATTTAAGTTAATTCAATTTCAGAATTGAATGCTCTTTAACTCCTTTTATCAGTCGTTTCGAAGTTTTGTCCTTATTCATTTAATTTTATTTTTTTATACTCACTATTTTTTCTATTCTCTATTTTATATTTCCGTGGGTGACACAGATCAGGGAAAAATCAGAAAAAGTAGAATTGGTCAGGGAAATCAGGGATAAGTGAGGGATTTTTATTAAAAAGTACTGGAAAAAATTTAATTAAAAAACCCTTCAATTTTTTCCATTTCTGACAATAATGAATTTTTAAATAATTTAATTCTTGAAGAATTATCATAAAATTGTTACTTATAAATAATTTAATGAAAAATTTACTTAAATATTTCAAAATTAATTTAATTTTAAAAGAGTTGCGTTTATAACTTTCACAAATAGATGAACTTCAGAAGGTTTTAATTTGAAATTTTATAGAAATTCTTAATTTTCAATGAATTTAATTAGAAATTTTAGAGAACTTAGATTTTTGAAAAATTTTAATAATTCAAATTCTAATAAAATTATTTAAATTTTTTAATACATATTTAATTAATTAGTAACAATAGTAGATTTACAGAAGAATTTTAGTTGATAACACTAAACAAATTGAATTTTGGAGAAGCTACAAATGATTGCAGAAATTTAATTATCTTCGAACGTAATAAAATTCTTCGTACAAATTCAATTATGTTCAAAATTTTTTTAAAGTTCCGTCAAAATTTCAATTATCTTTAAAAATAATAAAATTCTTCTCCGAAATTCAATTATTTTCAAAAATTTTTAATAAAATTCTTAGCAAAATTTCAATTATTTTCAAAAATTTTCCTCAATTCTATGATTTTTAATATCTATTACTTTAATAAAATTTTTAAATGAATTCAATTATCTAATAAAAAAAATTTTAATAAAAATCTATGCTAACAATTAATTAATTTCGTAAATAATAATAATTTCACAGGAATTCAAATATTTACAAATTGTTTTTATAAATATCTTCGCAATAATTCAATTATCTTCATAAATATTAAAATTTTATACTTTTTTATTTTTTAGGGATGCAGTTATTTTCTTAAATTGTAGAATTTCAATTATTTTTAATACCATTTTAATCAAATTTCTCGAAAAATATAATTATTCTTAAAAATTTTATTAAAATTCGTCAAAAGAATTGAATTATTTAAAAATTTATTGATAAAACTCTAAAAATTCTTTTTTGAATTCAATTATTTTCATAAATATTAAATAATAAAATTCATTTCAGAACTTCAATTATTTTTAATAAACTTTCAATTGGACTCCTTTAAATTACAATTATTCTTGAAAAATTAATACTTTTAACTGACAATTATGTAGAATTAATTTTTTTTGAAAAAGTTGAATTGAGTTTTTTTAAAATTAGGTAGTTTAAAATTTTTATTTTCTAATGTATATTTAATTAAAGAATTTCCGAATAATCAAAATTTCTTAAAATTGAATTGTGAACAAATAGATTTAAAAATTATTATAAATAATTGCGTTAGAGTAGAATTTTAATCGAAAATTATGGTAAATAATAATTGAATTGAAATGATGGAAATAATTTTGAAAAAGT